TAAAACTGACAATGAATCCCAAAATGATATTAAAGCCAAGACTCTTTTTTTTTTTTTTTTGTGGGGAAGCATTTCAACTCCTACAGGGATTTTACTGCTCTCTCTATTTCCCCTAATTTCCTTTCCCAGGAACAAACTTTCCACCAGACAGGAACCGAAGATAACTGTCCACCAGAAACATAGACAGAAGTAAAGCAGGGCTTGGCTAAACCGTCTGTGAGCTTGTTACTGTTGTCTGTTTTCCTGTTGAAGATTTTCCCTCACATTCTGCCTGGTAAAATGTTGTCCCCAAAACAGGAAGAGAAGGGAAATCTCTCTAACGTAGCCCCAAATAGAGGTAAAATCTGGCAGGGTTTTTAACTCTATCTAAAGTTAGGGGGGATTTTTTTTGGCTATAGATGCACTTTAAAGGGTTAAACAAACACATCAAAAAGAAATGCCACAATTTTTTTTAAATGTTATGGACTTATATACTAGTTACATACAATGTGGGGATTTATCAAACTGGAGCACACAAAATCTGGAGCAGTTGCCTATGGCAACCAATCAGCTTCTCTCTTTCATTTTCAAATCTTAACTGAACAAACTGAAGAGAGAGGCTGATTGGTTGCCATGCACAACTGCTCCACATTTTGTCTGCCCCAGTTTTGATAAATTCCCCCGAATGTGTTTGCGTACCTTAAAAATAGCATAATTCATTAACATATTTTAAGTTCTGCTGTGTGCTATACCTTGCAGCCTATTGTCAGATTGCCAGTTCAGGAATTTTGACACAATTTTCTGCCTCTGTTGTAGGAGCACTTCGATGGCTGCTAATCCTTCAGGTCCAAGAAGTTCGAATAACTGCAATGAAGAAAAAGGTCGTCAAATTTCATGTCTTTAAAGAAATTCTGTAAAACGAAATTCTATAAGAATTTAGTAATTCTTTTGCTAGCCACGTCATCTTTTAAATCCAGTAACTTTTAGTCGTACTAGCCCACATCACACATAGTTAGCACAGTTTACTTTTTGTAAACAAACCCTTTGTTTATTTAGCATCTTGGTCTGTAAAAATTACAACTGAATAAAAAATGCAAAGAAAATAAGAAAATTGTACCTACCGCAAAATCTTTTTCTTGAAGTCCACTGAAGGACACAGGAATTTAGTAATTTTTAGACAACTGGGTCATACTGCTACCTTCAGAAGGTTTGCCACTGGCAAAAAACAAAAACAGTAAGCCAGCCCTTGTATAACTCCTCCTCCAACGTTCAGTTTTGTGAGCAAGCAGTACAGAAGGCCACCATCGTTTTTTTCAAAGCAAACCCAAAAATAGGAAAAAGAATCAAGTCAATTTTTAACTAAGATAATTTATTTAGAGGAATGCTAGGAAGAAAAGTAGTACTAGATGTACTGCAATACTCACAGTCTTGATGTGACTTAGAGAAAGACCTCACAAAAGATGTGATCCATCCACGCATGCTTTTACAAACTAAAGCTACCACCAGAAGATGATAAAGAGTCATACCAGTAAGTTCAAAATGGTGAGGAAAAGGGATTCTAGATGAGCACCAGTGAAGTCCTTAAAGATAAAGACATTATCCATTAAAGTGGGGTGATGTCCATTAAGGTGAAGAAAGGATGGTCCACAAAAGGTAAAAAGGCCATTTGTCAAGAAATTCCCTTTCCAAGGGAAAAAAAGTTCCAGAGGAAGCCAAGCCAGTATAGGAAGTTTCCAGTCTTCACACACAACATTTTTCAGAAAGGAAAGAACAAGAAAGGTCTTTGTGTCAGTGCAAGTCATAGAAGATCCTATATCTGGTTCAGCAAGTTGATCTATGCACAGCAGAACAAACCGCAGCAATCAGATTGGAAATATGACACATTTCAGATTCATCAATGACCCAGTTAAATACAGTTTCTACCGGAGTCAGAAAAAAAAATCAGGGGCCTCAGGTACACTTATAGGTGCAGGGCCAGAAGGATCAGAGCCATGTTCTATCAAAGATGTAGCTGGTGAGTGTACCAACTGTCTGCAAGTAGATTGTTCCATTACTCACACATTCACATGCACAGACTAACATAAAATTAGATGTGAACATAAAAGATCTGGTACATATGGGACAAAATTGCAGGCTCAGGTAGTGAAGCAATAGAAGTCGCAGAGGAGGATGAACCTATAAAAATAAGAGTCTCAGGACTAAACATACTGACATTGGTTCCTTGTGAGGATACCAGAAAGACAATCCTTGAAAGTACAGGAGAATTAAGCGAGGTCACCCACTGTGCTCAGAGCAGCTTATAACAGACATGTTCCAAAATGGGGCAAAGGCCAATGTACTTGCAAACCCAGGCAATAGGTGTTGGTGAAAATAGCAGACAGCTACAAGTGACCATTTCACTGAAGACAGTCAGTGGAGTAAGACCAAAAAATCCATTATGTAACCAAAAAAGGAGTAGCAGTGGAAAGAGATTTCCCTATAGGCCAAAAGGTGGGAAAGGAGCGTGGAATGTGCGTAGAATTATGTCAGCACTGAGTTCCCTTAGGCCCTCAGTTACCTGGTAGAAATGTGGGAATTTAAGAAAACAAAGTGTTGCCCAACTTACAAATTTGTGACAGTTCCTTTAGCTGTAATTTAGACTACTAACTACCTAAATGTAAGAGACTGGGTCACAGAATGAGGTTGTGCTACAGTTATTAAAACAGGATTCCTCTATCAATGCTTACAAACGTTGTTGGATTAATATCTCGCTGTTTCCTTTGTATTCTGACAGCGGCCGCCTTGATTGACTGTTGGCTCTGTTTGGCCAAGAATTTTCCAGCTGCCTCCTTCGATCAGCTGATCAAGGGATGCTAAGTGGAACGGTGACGACAGTGGCACCCACAGTGCAAATTGCGGCTGGTTCATCGGCAACAGGCTGAAACTGTGTATACCAGACTTAAGAGCCTGTGTCTTCAAAACGACAAAAAAAGAAATACATTTACAAAACTTAGACCAGGCCTCAATGAAACTAGTTGACATTTTAACAGGTTTTCAAAAAATAAGACAATTATACATGCAGACATTTGGTGCATATTATACAGAATTTGAATTCTCTCTCACAACAGTAACTATTTGCTCATTACCAAAAATGGAATTGAAACTTCTAGATCTAACGCAGGTATTTAACTCCTAACATACGACATGAATGTCATATGTAAAGAAATAATTATGGCTTTTACAGCTGGAAAAGGCCAGGCTCAATAGAAGACATCCTGTTTCAACCCTCTCTGAATCCACTAGAGAGAGAGTTGTATTCACTGATTTACAGGAAAACGCACTTTACATTTTACACACATTTCAAGCCTCTGAATAATACGCCTAGGTTAGCTGAAGGAAAGCTTGCTTCTTTGATCATGCTTGCAACAAAAGTTTCAAAAGAAAAGAAACTGCCATATCATCAAGTTCTTGAAAACAGACTTTATATAGTAACATATTGGTGTTAAACTTTATCCCATCTCAAACGTTTTTATCTTCTGGGATTAAACCAAATCTATATTTAAATGAATCAATAGCATAAAAGCTTTAGAGCATTCTTTTTTTTTCAGGTTCTTAATCCCAGTGTGCTCAAACTGGTTTAGCACCCTAATTCAAATTATTATTGCCAATATTATATTATCAAAATATGATAACAATGTCTGCAAGTACACATTTTTATCTTTCTACTCATCACTGATAATATTTTTTTATAGCTCCACACAATAATAAACCACTTTACAGAAGGGATTAAAGAAGTCTTAGGCAGTAAATAATAAAGAATAGATGTGTGTGTGTGTGTGTGACTGTTTTCATTTCCTCTTGCTGGATCTTTATGGGAAAAAAGCTAATGTTCCACATCATTATGTCACGGGGATTCCAGCACATGTACAGAGTACCTGAATTACAGTACTAAAAACATATACAGACTCTGACGTCTGCAAAAAAAAGTAGCCCAACTAACAAAAAGGACATGTGGAAGTTTAGGAGGTATTTTTTTTTTTGGTAACTCAGAATAATAATGTGATTTGGTCATTCTAGAATGCATTGTATTGATTCATTGTGAAGAAGCATAGCTCGCAAGTTCAAAGTTAAAGGAACAGTGGTTACATTACTTGGTCGGGGAAGAAAAAAGGAAGCTATCAATGGCTGCAACCAGATATCTGAAAAGGCAAATTGAGAAAAACCCTTGAGTGACTGCAAAAGACCTGCAGCAAGGGGACACCAGGCACTGAGGTTTCAGTTTGTACAGTAAGGCGTGTACTAAAGGCAGATGGTTTCCGCACCAGAACTTCAAGACATAAACCACCACTGACCTAAACTCACAAGAAAAGTTGACTCCAATATGCTCAAAATCAAAACAAATAAACCACAGAAGTTTTGTGATTCTGCTCTGTGTAGCGATGAAACAAAACTGGAACTTTTCGGCCCTATGGATCAGTGGTGTGTCTGGAGGAGCAAAAATTAAGCATAAGCTGAAAAGAACATTCTTCCTACAGTTAAAGTGACATTAAACTCTCAGATTTTTTAACATAAAACAATACTGTAATGTTTGCCTTACTGTAATCCATGGTTGTTTCCCTTCTCTTTGCTGCTCTTCCTTTTAAATCCGAATCTCTTCTCATGCTGGGCAGAACTTCTGTTTTGCAGCAGACTGCCTTGTCTCTGAAATGGATACATGGTGTCTGTGTGGAGGTTCACAACCTGAGCCAGCACTACAGTAAGAGGCACTCAGCTGCAAAGGGAAGTTCTCCCCCAGCATGAGAAGAGATTCGGATTTAAAAGAAAGAGCAGCAAAGAGAAGGGAAACAACCATGGATTACATTAAGGCACACATTACAGTATTGGTTTATGTTAAAAAATCTGAGGGTTTAATGTCACTTTAAGCATGGTGGTGGCACGGTGATGCTCTGGGGAAGATTGCATCCTCTGGCAGTAGAAACCTGCAGCATGTGGAAGGCAAGATGGATTCACTGAAGTATCAGGAAATCTTACAAGAAAACATCATGCCATCTGCGAGGAAGTTGAAGCCTGGGTGTCATTGGACCTTCCAACAGTTGCAGCATGCAAACCCAAGAATATTAGTGAACAGGAGGCCATTTCTCATGAGGAATGGGCTACTATTCCTCAGGAATGCTACCAGAAGCTGGTGTCTGGCTATGCATATCCTTTGCAACAGGTCATAACATCAAAAGGGTGCTCTACTAAGTATTCAAGATGCTTGCCATGAAGGGGATGGATCATTTTGAGATTGCAGAAGTCATTAAAAGTTCAATTTGGGGAAACCACTATATTTGTTGTGTTGACCTATTTCAATTGCTTTTGTTTGATTTGTTTATTGGAAACAGCTGAAAGTCGGTAAATTTTGCCAATAAACCTGATTTGCAATGGGGGTTGAATAATTTTTATTACAACTCTATTTGCAATATGCAGAAACCTGAAACCTGTAGTGCCTATATTAGCTAAAGGGACACAGGTTCCCCATGTCTAGTAGATGTGATTCAATTAGATGGCACTCATTAAAATAAATACATTTTGTACAGTTATTTACTGCACTGAAAAAAAGTTCAGTGCATGTATCTATATACTGTACAAATATTGTAAATAAAAATAATCATGTGTGCAAATTAACCTCTGCAAAAGCCACTCTATATTTTTCAAAATACATAAACATATTTAAAAGCAAGAGATGCTGCCAAGACACACTCATTTTTTAAAGTGTCCTTCCTTTGGTGTACATTTGTGTTAAACTGGTACATTACTTGTCAGCATTACTTAGAGACCACCAATATAAGCAATTATAAAATAAAATTACCCAATTATAGGGTGAACAGAAAGTACTTTTAGCT